AAAAACCCCCCCCCCCCCCCCCCCCCCCCGGGGGGCAAGAAATTTTATAATAAAACCAAACCCTGGAGTAGAAAAATGATTATTGATAAAAATATGTAGAAAGTAACAACTAACAAGAAAGAAAGAATAAAATTACAGCATTTGATTAAAAAATTTCAAGTCTTGTTTGAGAAAGGAAGAGAGAGAAAGACTCACTTCCTCCTTGAAGAAGCATATAAATTTTAGACTCATAGTGAAGTTGAGGGTGCTTGGTCTTCACAGATTCCTGGGATATACACAAGTTCCAACAAAAATTTGGGTGAGAATCATAGAATCTGCTGCAATGTAATATACTATTCTATATACTGATATATTCTTTTTATCATATTAGTAAATTGTAGCTTCTTGAGTGGAGAACTTGTAGAATTACAAGTCGTCCTAAATTAACTTCAAGTCATTGCAAAGAAACACATTGTTTTCATAACAAAAGGTCCTGCAAACAGTATCAACAATTCGACATAGGAAGGGCTGCTAATTTATCCATGCCTTGTGAACTGAAAAGAAAAATATGGTTTGCCATACACAGGGGCGGACCCACATGGGGTCATGTGGAGTCAAATGACCTCACAAATTTTTGGATTTTTTTTTTTTTTTTTTTTTTTTTTTTTTTTTTTTTTTTTTTTTTTTTTTTTTTTTTTTTTTTTTTTTTTTTTTTGTTTTTTTTTTTTTTTTTTTTTTTTTTTTTTTAAAACCTAGCAACTACCCTCTCCAATTGCCAAACTCAATTTCTCAATAGTAGCCCACACTTGTGAAAAGCCCAAATCCAATCACTATATCCATATCCATAATCCCATTCCCATAATCTATTTATTCATTTATCCAAATCCATAATCCTATTCCCATAATCCATTTACTCATTTACCCAAATCCAATGCAACTTATATAATGAGTTCCAATATTCCCAAATCAAATCCCATTTTTTCCAAATTGCCAATTGCCAAACGTGAGTCGTGACTCGTCTTTCTTTTTTCACTCGTCTTTTTCACTTTCCAGTTTTCTCTTCGCCATCGGACCTCCACCGGGCCGTCCCTAAGCGGCTCAGCCCCTGCTGCTACTCAATTACGGACTAAGATGGAAATTTTCATTTTCTACTCCACAGTTCAAAATGTCTGGGTCCGTCCCTCACCATACAGGCACAGTTAGTCATTATTAGATAAGTAATAATGTGATTTCATCACAAAAAGGGATTGGTCTAATGCATAAACTACTCATACAGTTTCTACAATGGAATTTTGATTTCAAAATAAATTAGCAACCAGATAATTCATTATCTCAGTTGACAAACTTCGCTATTGTCCTTATAGAGAAATGTCTGAGATCATCCCTGTGGTTTTTTAATACCATTAATCTCCCAATGATTAAAACTCTTTATCTTGCCATTACGTCCAATATTCTCATAGAATGATAAAAAACAGAAGTAAATAACCATAAATCCAAATATGTAAGAAAATGTTGCTAAAATATTGTATTGGTGAAAAATATGAAAAGCACACTACATATTGTGCTGAAAACATAATTGAATCCAAAGGATTGCATTGCTCGAAACTTGTACAACGCGCAAAAAGTTAAAAACAGAAGACGAATATGAACAAGCATACCAGCTTGATGGCTACTTCTTCTCCATTTTGAATGTTTACACCTACATCAGTAAATTAGACAAATGGAATTTTTTAAAAAAGGGACAAAAATTACCTTATCTGCACCAGACAAGGAATTAAATAAAGTGGGTACCTAAATAAAGTTCACCAAATGAACCACTCCCAATTTTCCTTCCAAGCTTAAACTTTCCACCCACAACGTGATCCATGGCAATTAATTCGATCAAATAACTCCCAAATTCTAAAAATACCCACACACAAACTCCCAGAGTAAATTTTTTCAACTTCAACAGGTACTTGGGATAAAAATACCCAGAATACCACTGATAACGGAAAGATAATCACCAACAATCCCCGAAAAACTATAAGCAAATTAAAATGATCACACACATAGCCGATCCTAGAAATCAATAAAAACAAAACGATCGAGAATTTTTTTTTCTCGAACTACGTCCTCGAAATAATATAAACCCTAAATCGAAACCTTAACGCATGAAAGCGTAATCGATTCTCATTGACGAAATCTAAACAGGAGAAATCAATATCTAAAATATATATTGATATTCGAAAAGCAAGTGTAGTTTTGCTTATTTTTTAGTGGAATCGGATGAATCAGGGCGATGAAAAGGAGGGGGGGGGGGGAGGGGGAAGAGAAAAGAATGATTATAAGCTACGAGTGGTGTGGTGGGGATTTTAGAAAAAGAAAGCAGATTCGTACATAATTATTTTGTTTTTAATTAATAATATTCTTTTAACCTTTTAAGTTTTCGACTAAGCTTCTATTTGGTACAAATTAAAATTAAAATTTTAATATAAATCAAAGTTACAATTAATTTTAATCACATATTTCAATAGTCGCACAACTTTTCAACTACACATTTTTATTAATTTTAATCAAAATTTACTAAAAATTTAATTTTTAATCCCATCAAACAGGATCTAAATTGTTCCAACTTATCATTAATACCCGTAATCTTCTATTTATGGCAATATATACCCGTCTTGTCACCATCAAATTTTTTGGGTCAATTCCCCTATCATAATGTCCGAAAGAAGAAGATTAAATAGCTCGACCTACCAACTGTCATATAAGTCTATCTTAACGATCTTTTTTGCTTTTTAGGCGTCCACCGAGAGCTAGGAGTAGAAGAATGCCTTCTCTTTTCTTCTGGAAATCGAGAGTAGCTTATGGGTAAGTCAATACCAAGGATTAAAAAAAAAAAAAAAAAAAAAGATGCTAGAGCTAGTACAAATTTAATTTGTAATCAGGAGTGGAGATGGGGGACCAGTGCTCATTTTTTTTATGTCTGAAATCAAATCATGATAAATAAATGACTTTTAACTTATGAAATATAAGAAAATTTTATTTGTACATAATTTTTGTACACAGGGATGTTCACACCCCTCACATGAGATGGGGTCGTGTACATCTGGCAAAGTCCAAAGTATAAATGGTTTATATCCTAATTTTAAAATTTCTACTTTCGATTTAGGAGACAAAGTTTCGAATCCCTCCAACTGCACTTAATTTTTCTATTTGAAAAAAAATGTGCAATTAGTCCCAAGCAATTAGGACTTTCGAAATAAATTGTCTCCACCTTTAATCAAATTCTAAAATCATTATCCCTAAGTTTCATTGGGTATTTTTTTTCATTTTTACATAATTTCATTTATGTAAGTGTTGAATTTTCCTCATGTGAGATGGACTAGTTATTTCGGATGGGTAAAGTTGACAAAATAATATATTTAAAATATAACCTAATTTTTCAAATGAAAAATGTTTTATTCATTTTAAATTTCGATAGTTTTATTGTTTACTTTAAAACTTCTCTCTATGTCAACTACCACTACATTTTCGACTGTCGAGTAAAGTAGCACCATTGATCATTGTTGGTTCCAAAGCAAAAATTCTCGCTCCACGGCTCCACACAACGCGATGTCTGACTAAACATATTTTTTGCTCATGTTTATAAACACTCTTTATCTACATATTTTAAAAGAACTACAAATATCACCTACTTATTCATCGCATTTTTTTTTAATCTATTTATCAGTTAGATCATTTATAAACATTTCTCAAGTCGGCTCTCAAAATGGTAAAATTGTTTAAAAATAAGCAACATTTAAGTTAAAACAGTGAAATCATAAGGAAAAAAATAGATTTACGGATAGAATCAAATATGCAGTATTTACAGTTTGATTTTAAAATAAAAGAAATCATTATTAGACAATTTTGTACTCTTAGTATCACATCATGTTTGTGTTGTGCGGACATTAAAAGTCTAAATAGACATTTTCTTCTAGGTGAAAAAATTCACTTGCACGATGTTAAAATGATGGAGATATGAGTGTCACAAATAAAAAAGCTTTGAATACTGGGAACCCAAAGGAATTTACACCTTTTTATTTAATTTTTTATTTTTTATTCTTAGAAGGGGAAATTGCATGGATAGCTTAGAATAATTGATGAATCATGCCTATTGAAGACGAAGAATGAACTGTTGCTTTTTACGTAACACAAGCTCCAAAACCCTGTGTATAATCTCATTATTGATATGATTAATCCACTCTATTGTGGACACTTTATGCAGCTCAAGTTGTTTCACTGTTAATAAATAGGGTAATTAATACAAAACATTCCCACAGTTCAATATTATTGTGCAAACGTCTTTACCTTCCAAATTTTGACTTTTTCACCCTTAATTTCACCTTTTATTGGGTAAAAGCAAGAATTTTTTGGGGATTTACACTTTCCAGTTTGTTGGAGTAATCAACTGAAAGAAAATGGGAAAATTGTAGAAAGACGAGAATACCTTTCCCTTTGGACAAAAGTAGCGTTCACGCATTCATTTAACATAAAATTTGGATAGAAGATGGATGGAAAGAATGTTTTACGCAATAAAAAGTGAAATTAAGGGTAAAAATGTAAAAAATTAGAAGGTATGGACGTTTTCCATAATAAAAATGAAAGATAACAATGTTTTGTGTTAATTATTCTAACAAATATGTTAAGATTTTTTTTTTTTTTTTAATCTTAAGATTGTTAACCACCTTCATCTTGAAAAGAAAATCTTGTAGCAAGAACATTTCACGAAGGACATGACCACTTAACATTTTGAATGCATCACTCGAGAAAAAGAGCAATGCGAGATCAATGCAAGGAGTTGTTAATTCCAATCTAGTATGAGTGAAAATAGAGTTGTAATTTTAATCTGAACAGGGTATCGTGTTACATCTGAAGATTAGAAGAAGTTAAAACGTTGAATTGCAATTTTGAAATTATAAGGTTTTGATAAACATTGAGACATGTAGTCGGCCATTTCATGATTTTAATAGGAATCTACAAACGGTTATAAAGTAATCGTGGATGATAGAGAAATGGTATAATTTTAACATATTTTTTCACATAAAAATTATTAGTATCGATTTCAATTTTACCCTTTCATATATTATCTCAAAGGAAAATCTAGAGATGAAATTGAAAATTGATTCAAATTCTCAACGCTTCTGCTATTGGTTTAGGTAAATACTACATGACATCGCACATTTCTTTCCATGTTGATTTTATACATCTC